TCTGATTATCTATCTGTACGTTTACGTATGTATCTGTTTATCATCTCTGATTATCTATCTGTACGTTTACGTATGTATCTGTTTATCATCTCTGATTATCTATCTGTACGCTCCTCCTTCTGATCTAAATAATCCTGTTATAAATCAACAAATAATTGAATCCAGTGTTATTGTTATCCAATAATGGTGAAGTCGAGCCCTTCAATAAACAACGAGGATCTAGATTAACCCTATAATAAAGATCCGTTGCTGGGACGTATTGTTCTCCGGGTTGAGGATTATTTCTCCGGGTTCTAACTCTGACTGCTAAACACCCCATTATCAGGATATTATCCTGAACCAGCTGCCGGAGTAATGAATTGAGTCGTCACGGGATAGGCTTAACCCTGTCAGGTTGAATGGGGGCGTGGCAGGGGGCCTGAATACCCGGGTCCAGGGGCATATATGGGGGGGGGGCNAAAGAGGATAAAAGAGGATAAAAGAGGATAAAAGAAGATAAAAGAGGATAAAAGAGGATAAAAGAGGATAAAAGAAGATAAAAGAGGATAAAAGAGGATAAAAGAGGATAAAAGAAGATAAAAGAGGATAAAAGAGGATAAAAGAGGATAAAAGAAGATAAAAGAGGATAAAAGAGGATAAAAGAGGATAAAAGAAGATAAAAGAGGATAAAAGAGGATAAAAGAGGATAAAAGAAGATAAAAGAGGATAAAAGAGGATACAAGAGGATAAAAGAAGATAAAATAGGATAAAAGAGAATAAAAGAGGATAAAAGAGGATAAAAGGGGATAAAAGAGGATAAAAGAGGATAAAAGAGGATAAAAGGGGATAAAAGAGGATAAAAGAGGATAAAAGAGAATAAAAGAGGATAAAAGAGAATAAAATAGGATAAAAGAGGATAAAAGAGGATAAAAGAAGATAAAAGAGGATAAAAGAGGATAAAAGAGGATAAAGAATGATAAAAGAGGATAAAGAGGCTAAGGTTAAAAGAAAATATAGTAATGAATTCGGATAATTACAGGCTGTGACCACATGTAGAAGAGATGTGTGCAGAATCTAAAAAAGTAACGTAAGAAAAAGCGCAAGGAAAGAGTTTGCTACTGAAGGAGTAGTAAAGATATAATATGAAAGATTAAGTTAGTAAAGATGGTTGTAAAATTGAACTCAGCTGGTGCAAACCATATCATAAAGATAATTATAACAGTGTAAGACTAGGCTCAATCGGTGATACAATCTGAACTATAGGATTTAAAATAGATCATTACTCCCCCCCCCCCTCCCTTCAAACCAGCTGGACGGAATGTAAAACCTATATTATTAAGATATTTAAAGAGGATCAGATAAAGAGAAAACCCTGTGTTCATTAGAACACCCAGAGAAGGATATTAAGAGAGAACCAACCCTGGAGCTATGATAACTAGTGATAAACATTCCTAGATTATTGCCATTCATTCCGAACCTATCTTCAATAATTCCACACACACCTTCGCATATCTGATTAGAAGGGGGGGGGGGTTGAAGGGGTGGGGACGGGTTCATGGGAATGGGGGGGAATGCTAGAGGAGAAACGTACAATGTTTGTATACAGTGATTACCAGAAAACTTTGTTATAGGAAGACGACTTATATGAGCTTTAATCTAAATAGTAAAAATATTGCTGTGCAACATCAAATACACTTTACTTATTTATTTAATGTCTTCTTCATATTGCACAGTTTTCTCGTTCACACTGTGTTTACATCCTTAATCCGTCACAGGAAGTGTTATAATGCCAGGCTTTTTAGAGCAGGACGGAGAGAGTTTAGCATGTTTTTATCCCTACCCTGATATTCAATACAAATCCTGGATATGTAGATTTAGATCAGAGCTAAACAGATTTATTGACAGGCCAGGTGTCCCAGGATCTAACAATACTTTTCAAACTTTAAAAACTCAAAATCCGCGAAGGGAATTTAAAATTTAAGACTGATTTTATTTTTATATTATTTTTAGTCCATTTCTTTCTTTTCTAATGAACTCGTAGCACATTCATAGACAAAACAACCCCAAATTTAAAAGAGTATCGTTGAACGAAACTCCCGAGTTTTCTTTTAGGGTCTTAGCATTTGTGTAGATTTTGATTTAAAAGATTCGAAAAAAATGGAGAATATGAAGAAACTAAATAAAATAATATTTCATAATAAAAATATTGATATCCACAAAACTGCCTAACCCCTGAAGGAGCTACGAGGTCACAAAAGTCCTACCAGTAATGTCACACAGATGTAATCTTCTCCTTCAGTCTAGTGGA